CTTTTCTTTTCCCTTCTAACATACCCCCAACCCATGTGCTTCCTTCTCAATCTCAGCATGGGACACCATCCTGGACACTTCTCTATACCTGTATCAACTCCCTATTCTCTTCTCTTTTTTAAATAGGAAGGCATATTACCACTCTTCTTCAAGGTAACCCTTTTCCCCGCACTCATGTTCCAAACCCTTCCATTTCTTCTGAGGTTATAGCTGATCATCTTCCCCTTGTGACTTTAATTTTCTTTCCCCCCTCAATGCCTCTTTCTCTCAGTCCACTAAAGTGTCCTTGACTATTCCTCCTTTAAAGAACAACAAACTTCCCTGATCACATCGCCCCACTCAAGCTTCTATTCACTGTCCTCCCTTACCAAACATGTTTGAAAGAATATATTTACTGAGTGGATGCTTTCTTATTTGATTCTGACTTCTCTCTTGAGTGTGTGTGTGTGTGTGTATTTTTTGAGAGTGGGGGGAAGTAGGGAGAAAGAGAGGAAGAGAAACATCAATCGGTTGCCTTTCACACATGCCCCAAACAGGAACCAGGCCCCAAAACTCAGGCATGCACCCCGACTGGGAATCGAACCAGAGACCTTTGGCTTTGCAGGATGATGCTCAACCCACTAAGCCACGCCAGTCAGGGCCAGACCTACCTATTTTTAAATTTAATTATATTTGACTCAGTTCCAACAAAGAAAATAAAACAGTCACTTCCACCAAACTGACGTGAACTGGTGAATTTTACATCTCCAAATCTACTCCTCTACCCACATTTTAAAAATTGAGATCAATTACCAGCATCACCATTCACCCAGTCAGACGAGAGAATGCTCTCCTTTACCCCTGACCTAAGATGTCCTTCCTAAGATCTCCCGCATCTGTCTCCTGCACCTTCCCAGGGCTCCTACTGCACGGGGATGTTGTGAGGGTTAAATGAAACAATAAATGGGAGCACAGGCTGTAAGATGTGTGGTGTGCGCGCAGAGCTTATTTAGTACTACTACATCTTTAGCAAAGTGAGCCTGAAATTAAATTTAATATGACTTGTTCTTTTTTTTAAGACTTAATTTATTTATTTTTAGAGACAGGGGAAGGGAAGGAGGAAGAGAGGAAGAGAAACATCAATAGGTGAGAGAAACATCAATGTGTTGCCTCTTGCAGGCTCCCAACCAGGAACCTAGCCCACACCCCAGGCCCGTGCCCTGACTGGGGAATCAGGGAATTGAAAAGGCAACCTTTTAGTTTGCAGGACGATGCCCAACCAACTGAGTCACACCAGTCAGGGCATAACTTGTTCTTAAAAATACAATTCTGGATCTTAGTAATCAATACCTTCTTTTCTAATCACAAATCACAAAGCATCTGTTTGGCAATTTGGTTATAATTTTTTCAGGAATCGCTCAGTGTCAGGTTGTTCAATGTACATTTTCTGACTTCACCTCCCCACACCCCATTTTTAAATGTAAAATATGCAATTCTTCAGGTTTATGGAAAAAACCTTCCACTCTCTTTACTTTTTAAAGTTGAGGGGCATTGGTTGCACTGCACCAACATTTCCAAGGATGTGTGGTACTCTACCTCAGCATTCATCTATTTCTTCTACTCATTGAAAGCGGCTAGAAGCTCTAGTTTCCTCGTCCACTTTTGAGTTTCAATTTAGAAGAATTACATTTGAATGAAATAATGTTTCACTTTGTTTGATTCCTTTCTTGTTTAATTAAGATGATCACACTTTAAGCGTTGCTCTTTCATATTATTAGACAAGATTTTTCTTCCCAGCAGTTAGATCTGAAAAGTGTTCAAAATTTCCAAATGAATCAAGTCACCCTCAATTGCTATAAACCAAGGCCAAGAGACTTAAGAGGCACTGGTGAGAAGTAACAGCAAAAGAAAGCAGTATTAACAAGAATATAATGTTCCCATCAACTCCAAGATAAGTTTATAATTAGTTATTAATGTGACATTTTTATATACTTTCAGGATATAATTAGGTTGAAAATACATTTAAAAATATTAGCTTAGCCCCGGCTAGGTAGCTTAGTTGGTTAGAGCACCATCCCGATTCACCAACGTTGCAGGTTCCATCCCCAGTCAGGGCACATATAAGAATCAACCCATAAATTCATAAATAAGTGAAACAACAAATCCATGTTTCTCTCTTTCCCTCTCCCTTTCTCTCCTTTTCTTTTTCTCACTCTAAAAATCAGTTAAAATATGTTAGCTTATTACCCGGATTCTTAATGTAAGGAGCAGATCTTAAATTCTAGGAGTCTCACACATTTTGATATAAGTTTTATGGATCAAATTCTATTGCTCCAAATACTGCATAATTTGACTTAAAAAAGATCTCCATTTAACATGAGACAGCTTATTTATTTAAAGCCATCTTTTAAAAACATTTATTGATTTTTTTTGGGGGGGAGAAAGAGAAAGAAAGGAACATCCATTTGTTGTTCCACTTATTTTCATTGGTAGATTATTGTATGTGCCCTGATCAGGGATCAAACTATTTAAAGCCATCTTTAACGAAACAAAAGAATTAGGATACTCTCTGTATGTTACTCACTTACTAGTAAAGTATTAGAAGTACAGGTCATTTCCATTGTAATTTCACAAATGGCTACGTGAAGCCACATCTGATAACAGGATTTCTGAGGCTTAAAAAAATTCTCGAATTTAAGCCAGGCATCTAACATAATTCAGAAAAAAAATTAATCAGAGGAAGTTGTTCAAGTTAAATACAACAAACTAAAAGGTAGAGTCCAGCATAGCATTCTGGACTTGTATGGCTTTCCCCACAACTGAACCTACCAGATACACTGAGGGCAAGTAAATAAAAACAAAACTGTATTTGGTGAAAGGAATGACTAGATTGTCCCAAAAGAGCCAAAAAGAATATAAGCATGAAAGTTGGCAGTGCATGGGTAAAAATATTAAGCCCCTGTTATAGTCAAGACAAGGTAAAACGTTTCTTCCGTACAAAGTAGGGATAGTCTACTATGAATGGGCTCCATTTGGATGTCTCATTTTCTGGTCTCCTAACCAACTCCCAACTTTCTTCCCACCAAACTGCTCCTCTCATAAACCTCACTTTAGTACATGCTTAAAGTCTGGTGTGCTGGAAGTCTGCCATTGACCCTACAACCCTCAATTTATCCAGAAATCAGCCACTCCACCAACTGCACTCTGCATCATCCCTGGCCTGGATTAAGGCAAAAGTCCCCAAACTGATGTCCCTGCTTCTGCTCCTGACTAACACCCCGGCCCCACCAACAAAGTCTATTCTCCATCCAACACCAGAGGGACGCTTTCAAAAAGCAAACCTGAGTATATCCCTTCCCCATTCAAAGTGATGGGCCTCAGAGTGGAAACCCAGTCTTTACAAGGGCCTGCAGGCCGGGCACAGTCTGCTTTCCTGTGCCCACTCCACCCTGACTTCACTTCTGCTGCTCTTACACTGCTTGCTCCACCAAGCCAAACCAGCCTCTCTGCGTTCCTCAAACGTGTCCGTGTGCTTCTGCCTGGAAGCTTCTGCTGGAGCCTTTCCCTCTGAACACCCTTCCCCTAGAGAGGTACTGGGGTCACCCTCTCACTCCCTTCCAGTCTTGTGCTTAAATGTCATCTTTTCCAGGAAGTCTTTTGTGGCTACCTCCAGTTAAAATTGCAACCCTCTCCCTGCTCCCTATCCCCCCTCTTCCCTGCTCAGCGTCTTCAGTCCTAATTAACACCAAGGGACATAGCATACATTTATTATTTATTATCTCCCAGTAGAATGGAAGCTCCATGAAGGAGGGCAGTTTTCATCTGTTTAGAAAACTGTGTGGCACACAGTAAGTGCTCAATAAATATTTACTAACTGTATATATAACTTTATATTTTATAAATTGCTTTCGTGTAAATTAAATCTAAAGGAGATCATTTTCTCTTTATGCCCCCTTTTGTCCCAATTCTCCAATCTTGGCAGTAACAATATGGATGACAGCAAGAGGTATCAGGCAAAAAGTTGCTGGCTACTTGCAAAGCTCTTTAAAACAGATAACCCCACATTCACTAACTACACCTACAAAACGAACGCTCAGAGTCAACATCTTTATTAGCATAAGGTTGCTGGGTGTGTCGATCTGTTCACTGAACCCTAGGAAAAATGAGAGCTGAATTCAATATTCAAGAAAACATTGGTCCGAATCCAACACCAACGTATATTCAACTCCCTCAAAATTTTCGATCTGCCTAAAACGAACTGGGTGCTGTCCCTGGGTGTGTAAAGTCTGCACAACACACAGAGAATGCTTTGTTTTGCTCAACCCGCTGAAAATCAGGCGGGGAAGCGTTTCTTACAGCCTGTGAGCTAGCTGATCCCCGCCGCCGCGGAACGACCCACCCGCTGGCCTCCACGCTGCGGTGCCCGGGCTTCCCCACAGTTTAATCCCACAGGTGGCGAAGGGGAAATCAGTTTAATCCCCACCACCACCCCCAACAAGGCTCCGGCGGTGCCCGGGACGGACGGCAGATGTCCCAGAGACCCTCCGGAGAGTCTTTCGCCCGGACAAGGCAGGTCGCAAACATGAGCGGGAGATTTGACAGGTGGGCGAGCGGCCGCGGGGCCAGGGCGCCCGGAGCGACCAGGGGGTGGTGGCAAGGAAACTGTCAACTCCCGCGGTCAACCAGCCAGTCCAGGCCCGGCTGGGGTAGGGGTGCCGCGGCACCTGAGAATCAATGCTGTCCAGACAGCAGCGTGCTCGACCTCCGACCCCGCGCCGGGAAATAAAGTTAGTATTGGTGGCCGCGCGGCCCCGCCAAGCTCCGGCTGCAGCTCGAGGCTGCCCAAGGCCGCGGGAAGGCGTCCCGAGCCCCAAGAAGGAAAGGAAGCCCAGGCCGGGGCGTCGGGCCGCGACCCCAGCCCAGGCTGACAGCCACCACCCCAATCGGCTGCCCCTCAGGCCGCGGACAGGGTCCCGGACCCAGCCCTCCACCAGCATCATAGGCTCCGCGCGCCACTTTACCTCTAGTCTCGCCACCACCAATGCTGCCGCCGCCTCCACCGCGCGCTCCCCCACAGGGCGAATCCGGAGCCCTCGGCACCGCGGCCGCTGCCTGGAGCTCCCACCCCCGCCCCCTCAGGTAACCCAGGAAACCGGGAACACCGCCCCCTCCCCCCGCTTCCGGGCCCAGACCTGCCCGTTTGCGCTTGCGCGCTGGCTCCGCCCGCGCCCCGCGCCCCGCCCCTCACTGGCTGGGCCGCTCCAGCGTCGCAGAAGTGAGGCGTAGACCCAATGGGGAAGGGAGGAGGGCGGATCTAGCCAATGGGGAAGGAAGAGAGCAGGCCAAGCCCTAGGAGGCCCGGGCCGGGATGGCCTGGGGCGGGGCTCGGGCCGCTGGTTCTGTGCCACTCGTTCCAGAAGTTCTGTGAGGACGTGTGCATTAGAGCGGGAGAAAGTGACACAGGGGCTGTCCGCTAGTCCCCTGTGTTGGTCCGGACCGTGGGGATCAAAGAAATATGGAAAGGGGTTGGGAGAGGGAGGCAGCGTAACTTGTAAAGGGTTACGTTGGGCTTCTTTCAAGAATCATGAAGAGGTTTACGAAGCCTTTGTGGAATTAGCGCAAAGGTGCATTTTTCAGCCTGGCTAGCTCCCAACACATTTGGGTGCAGCGTTCACTGTCAACGTTATATGCCTTAATAGCGGCTCCTCCAGACGGCGGGGGCCGTGGGTTAAATACAAGTCTGTTTCTGGCTGCATCACTGACATTGGCTGCCGGTCCCAGCTCGCGGCCGGACAGGCTGCAGCCGCGGGCTGTGGGGCGTTTCAGAGGAACCCCTCCCCACCACCCAGGAACTGTGACAAGCACTGTGGGGTGTCCAAGGTAGTGGGACAGGGCCTGAACTCTGAGGGTCTGGGATTCAAGGTCTACCTAGCAAGCCTGTAAATCGACAGGAATTGCTTTAGAATCAACAACTCCAGTAATTTTTGCACAGGAATCAAGAAATAAAAATAACTTGGAATATTATATCCTAAGGCTGTATACCAAATGCAACTTTTAATGTTTTCAACTCCCACCTGACTCAATGACAAGCAGAGTAATAATTGTCCAGTGTTATGCTTTGAAGAGGCTCTCCGGGAAAATCCCGCATTTTGACGCATGTCCCCACTGAACTCGGAAGTTCATACCTTTGGGCACAGGTTGCCCGCTTCCTCTGGCAATATTTAAAAATAAAAACACTTGGCCCATGCCAGGTACTCAGTTGGTTAGAGCGTCGACCCCATACCCCGAAGCTGTGAGTTCCATCCCTGGTCAGGGCACATCCAAAGGGTCAACAGTGAATGCATTAAACAACAAATCGAAGTCAGTCTCTCTCTCTCTCTCTCTCTCTCTCTCTCTCTCTCTCTCTCTCTCTCTCTCTCTCATATAAATAAAATAAAAAATGCACATACTCTAGGGATGGGCAACATCCCAAAGGAAAGCAGAATGCTCCGCCCCACCAAATGCCACTTTGGCATGTGGATTATATTGAGCTGAAGATAATCAAGACCCAGCAGATTCAGGAAAAAAACTTTGACCTCTCCTAGAACTACCTAAAGAATTTAGATAGTCACCTGCATAGTGGGGAGAACACCGGATCGCCAAATACCTGCTCTTCTTATCTTCCTTTCCATTGTCCTCCTCTACTTTTGAATCCCCAGGCCCCTTTTCAAATCCTTAGCTCAAAGGTGGCAAATACAAGGCCCCAGGGCCAAATCTACCCCTCCACCTTGTTTTATCTAGCCCAAGGCACCTTGTTTCTACCCTGCAGCAGTGCTGAGCTCTCGCTTAACTGTTAAGGAGTAGTTACATTTATACAGTCCTAAATTTACATTGGGTCCTTTGAAGGCAACCACGAGGCTGATGTGGGACCCTGTGAAAATGAGTTTGACATCCTGCAATTGCTTGCCTTTGGGGCTCATATTTTCATAAGGTTCCAATACATGAAAATTAAATTTGTTTTTTTTCTGTTGTTTAAATCTGTCTTATGTTAAATTAATTAGTAGACCAGCCAAGGGAAGAAAGGAAAAATTTTCTACTCCTGCAATATGAAATCCCTAACAAGTTAGTGAAAGAGATGTCTAGGGAAACTGTCCGTTGTTTAACAAACATAGTTGACTCTTGAACAAGTGGGGGTCAGGGGCCACAACCCTCCACATAGGCAAAACTCTTTATGCAACTTTCGACTCCCCCAAAACTTAACTAGTCAGCTCTTGGAATCTGCAGGGCATTGGTTCCAGGACCACCCACCCACCATAGATACCAAAATTCACAGATGCTCAAGTCCTTAAAATGGTGTAGGACAATGCCCACAGTCAGCTCTCTGCATCCATGGATTCCCAACTGTGCAGGGAAAATACTGTTTTCCATCCACCAGTGGTTGAATTGGCAGATGCAAAAGCCAGGGGTAGGGAGAGCCAACTGTATATTTATTGAAAAAAGTCTACCTACGTAAGTGGACCCACACAGTTCGAACCCTGTTGTTTAAGGGTCAATTATATGTCATGAGTACCTACTGTGTGCTAGGTACTGTGCAAGACACTGGAGATCTTGGTGAATTTACATGAACTCAAAGAGGAAGAGAAGTCAAACTTGACCTATTTCACAGTTTTACCCATAATTAAACCTACTCTTACTTATATATCAGGTTTTACCCACTAATCTCAAAATGACTCATTTTTTTAATGGACAAAAGAAGTCATAGAATTGTTAAGTTTCTGTTTGTCTGGAATGGAAGATAATAGATAATCCTGATTTTTTTAAAGCCAGAGACTGAAACAGACTTTATATCTGTGTACAGATATCTATATCTGTATACAATGTATACAGTTGGCCCTCAAAATATTATGTGTTTGTAAAAGACACAAAGTAATGTTATTTGTGACTATTCTTTTCTCTGATTATCTGAGTTATAGAGTATTTTAGCCAAGCTATCATAGTAATGATTTTGTTCAAGAATATTTTACAATATAGATATTAAGTATACATATTAGATTAAACTTAACTTAAAAATTTTCAACTGAACATAAAAATGTGTAATCATGTACATGCAACAGAAGAAAGAATAAAGATAAAGTAATAGGTACATAGAAGGAAGTCAGATATATACATCACACACTAGAAGACTTGGTGATTAGGAAATTCTTCAGATAATTTGACTTTAAAATTAGATTCTAAAATCAAGGTTTTAAAAGATACAGTTAATGTATATGTGTATAATTACACACTAATTATTCACCAGGATACATTAAAATAATAAATTCATAACCACATGGACATATAAGTCAGATCATGTCATACAGATTCTGCTCAAAAACCTACAGTGACTCCGTTTCACTCAGGTCAAAACCTAAGTCCTCACCTCAGCCTACGGAGCCTACACCACAGGGCTCCCGGATCCTCATCCCTTCCTGCTCTCGCGTCCCTGCAGACATACTGGCCTCCTCACTGTTCACTGAACATTTAGACAGAATCCTGCCTCTGCACTGGCTGTCCCCTCGGCCCGAAATGCTTTTTCTCCAGATAGCCACATAAATAACTCAACGTCTTTGCTCAGATTTCACCTTCTCAATGAAGTCTATCTCAGTGCTGCTCTTAAACCTACATAACAGGCGACTCTGCCCTGGACCCCATACTTGAGTGTCCCTCTTATCACAAGTGCCATCTATTATGGATGGAATTGCTCCCCCAGCCCCCACCCATGTTGTAGCCTTAATCCCCAGTGTGACTGGAAGTAGAGGCTCTACGGAGGTCATTAAGAGTAAGCGAGGTTATAGGGGCGGGGCCCTCATCCAATTGGACTGGTGTCCATGCAGGAAGGAAAAGAGACCCCAGACCTTCCACACCAGCACCAGCCATGGAAGAGCGGTGTCACCAGAAACCAGCCCTGCTGGCTCCTTGATCTTGGACCTCCAGATCTCTGAGAAAATAAATGTCTATTGTCTAAGCCACCAAGTCTACAATGTTTTGTTATGGCAGTCCCAGCAGACTAGTATACCCCCAAAACTAATTTTATTAAAGAATACACAGCTTCTCTGTCACTTGGGATCTAGTGCTGAGAGTTTGCATGGTATAATCCTAAACATGATCTCTTTTATTGCACTTATCCACTTCCAACATCCTACTTAATTTACCCATTTATTATGTTTGTTTTTATTGTCTACCACACTTAGATAACCTTTATTTGGGTTAGGCTGCACTCCAAGTGCCAGGTCAGTACCGACACAGTAAGCACTCAGTCAATATTTATTGAATGGATGGTGCAAATTAAGAAAATTTTGTTTAAATTCAAATAAGCATGTAAATGCTCAGTTAATCGTACTTTTAGGTAATGTGTGACAACTTCAATGTCCATGTGTGGCAGTGGAACAGAAATGGATTTGTAAAGAATTGGTAGAGGGGATGCAGTTACAGGAATATGGTCAAGATTATACAGAGGGTCCTCATTTGACTACAGACCAAGGAATTGCTACATTATAAATTATAGACATATACATTTATTTTAGAGTGTTTTACTTTGTTAGAATGCCTATGAACCTTCTAAAACTTGCTTTTTTAATAGGTACTTTGCAACTTTATTGAAGAGGTCAGTTTATAATTCATGTCTCCATTAACTTACTATTGCAAAATTTATCAGATTAGGTTTATATAAGATTCTTTTGTGTAATTTTCTCTACTAAACCTCTGATAGCATTTCAAATCCCCCAAAGTATGTAAATTTCACTTTAAAAATTCATGTCATTGCATTAAAAAAATTATAACCATCAACAATATTTTATGAGATGATCTTTTGAGAAGCTAAAAAGTGTTAAAAGAACCTAATTTTCCCTTCTTTGCTGTGGAAACCATGAGCCTTCCTGTCCTACTTTAGTGCGTGGGAGAGACTGCTTGTGGGCAACAGTGTCATTAATCGTCATAAAAGCTTTTTTTCTTCTTCTTAAACTCAGGATTGTTTTTCTGCTTAGAGCAGAAAATATTGACTATATTCCCCAGTCATAAATTCAAATGTTAAGGCAAATATCCAACATAGAAAATGAAAGTTTTCTGTGACCTCCTCCCAGATGTCACCGCTGGTGAGTGGCACATAGGCCCACAGCCGTCT